GAACCGCCCCCTGTTGTTTACAAATGGTGCTAGCATGCAGCGACTGTGTCGAGGTCTTCACTCTACATCTGTGAGAGAAACTGACGCTCAGTTACAAAGTCAGAACGAACCGACAAACAGCTCCAAAAAAGATCGGACAAAAAGTCGAATCTATTACTTGCTCCACAATCTGAGAGGTCGTTCATGATGAATAACATGTTTTCTGTAGAAAACAAATCTGGACCGCAGGCCGGACGAGCAGTTTATTGTCTTTTGTATTTTTTACTTTCATATTATTACTGGGATTTACTTGCTGAATGTAAATATATATATATATAATCGTGATAATTAGGAATATATGCTAATGCTAATGTGCTAGCCTGCTAAATACCGATATATTTTTTTTTATTTTGTGCCTTTCTAAACCAATCCTGTTGTGTTTAATAGTGTTTTTAGAAATAATGTTAAAAAACTGAAGCAGATTCTAAAACAGCAAAGATTTAATTTTTTTTTTTAAGCATTTTACCAATTTTGGTTGTACATTTGAACAGAGCTTTCTACCTTTTTCTTTACCTTTTACTAACCTTTTGTAAATCGATTTTGGTTGTACATTTTAACAGAGCTTTCTACCTTTTCCTTTACCTTTTACTAACCTTTTGTAAATGAAGTCTATTCATTCAATTCATATTATGAAATAGTGGTGACGGGTGTGTCGACGAGCGCTTTTAGGTCTTTGTGTATTTTTTTTTTCCTTTAACACCAGAAAATGATCACATTTTTATATGTGCCCTTTCAAACCCCCCCGTGTTCCCTTTGAATCCCGAGGACGCCTTGTCAAGAATGAATATATACTGAACCTTAATATTGAATGTGAAGTGAGTCTGACATTTAATGTGAATATTATACATCCCTGGACATGCTCACTGTTGGATTTCTCCCTCCCCTCTCCTCATTTTTTTCTTTTTTTTTTTCTTTTTTAATAATGTGTTAAAGAGGAATACCGCTGAATTCCAGATGTAATTTATGCAACTCCCATTTGGTTTCACGGCAAAACCACTCTGGATTAATGAATAGCCTTCGCACTCAGCCCCTGTAGCCATGAATGACATCCAGGTTCGTCCTATTCTCACTGTCTGAGGTCACGTTGGTCATGAAAACCAATGAGAAACGAGGGGAGGTGCGGAGCGCTAGAACGCAAAGACAATTAAAACTGCCTGGTGTTTGATTTCCCGAAACTGCAGCGAGAAGTATTTTCACTTATATTAAAGTTTAATCAAATCCAAATATATGATACTTTCATCGCCATAACCCAATGATTCATTTATTTTTTAAGGCGTTTTATATAAAAACTTTCAAGTTTTAAAAAAAGACTCAACGTGACTTTATCTTTTATGAAATAACTGTCTATGATTTGTTATATGTTTGATGATGAAGGTATTCTGTGATTACGTTTGAATAATCAATGTTGCTTTTTGCTGCGGGGCCACAAATTGCCATCGTCTGCCTCTATTTTTTTGCGGCTAAAAAAACCAAAACTAATTACTTAATGACCCGGTCCTTTGTGTGTTAAAAACACAAAATAGATGCTGAAATGGCTTGTAAACACTCCGGGTAATTACATGAATTGGTTTGCAGGTAGCGCTGATGAAAAATGTCTGCAGATACATTATCATTACGGGGCCAGTAATTACTGGTTCATTATGGACATTGATCATTCCACTTTGGAGCCAGTAGAGCTGAGGCAGATGTTGTGTGTACATTTATGGAACTCCAAGTGCAGCGGTGAAGTAATGAGGTGACGTCCTGTCAGTTTTTTTTTTCATGCAATTATCCTTTAAAAGAATGTTTGTTTTTTCCTAAGAATGCATTAGAGTTTGTTTTCTTCTTCCTAAGAATGTTTCTTTTTCCTAAGAATGCATTAGAGTTTGTACAAGGCTTGAAATGAACCAGAGGTAAATGTTAATTGTTTACTGTTAGACTGGATCTTGAATGGAAAAGTACGCAGCAATTACCACTTGGTGTTTACAAACATAAACCATGTGAGTACATTGTACTGACGATGTATTGTCTGGTTGGTCGACGTTTTTCCCAAAAATGTAAAACGTGTTTAGGATCGAGGGCCGGTGATACATCTGGTACATTTGTGCTAACAATTAGCATAAATGCGTGCGGGGCTAAAAGATTTATTCTAGTGCAGAGCTCCTACTACTGTTTGGAGCTGTACACCTCCGACCAAACTAGAACCTTGCTTTAAAATGAAAAACACTGTCTTCTCTTAATTCTACAACCAAACAAATATTTACTACGTTTCAGTTTCTGTTTACATGCCCCGCCCCCTAGCCTTCAAGCAGAGTTTTGATTGGCTGAGCATACCGAAATTATCCGTGATTGCACTTTTGTTCCACGACTTTTCTGTCATGTTTTTATTGATTGACGAATACGGACTGAGACCTTTCGTCATCACCATTTAGCTATCACGTCTTCCTAAGTTTTCGTCTCAGAAAATAAGCTCGTTGACTAAGTTATTAATTGACTTATTCGGGTTTTAACGGCAACTTGACTTTTTTTTTAAGTTGTATCACGATGACTTGCTCGGTCAATGTCCATCTTTTGGGAACATTGAGGACCCATTGGTCGATTCCCAGCTTGTTGAGATTCCGTTTTAAAAGCAAGCATTCCAAAAAAAAAAAGATGGAGGCCAACATCCCTACAGATTACCAATCCATCACTAGCTGTCTCTGACCCAGTTAAAACGACTAAGAGTATTTATATATACCATATCTATATGATTCTGCTGTTTATTTTATACGACCTTCCAACTTGTATCTGGGACTTTGCTTCCAGAAAATGGAGCAGAAATTAAGATGTGACTTATTTATATTTCAGCTTCATTCAGCATATGCAAATCACCCCGCGTGGCAGTCTTCAGCACTGGCCCACTTCTCCTCATACCCACGTCAGTAGTTGTGTTTCTCCCCACGTCTGAGAGGAGACGACATGCGGAGGAGGTTCGCGGCTCCATCCTGGGAGAAAAGCTCAGGCTTTTATGTTCAACTCCAACTTTTTAATCTGGCTTTGAGAGACCGTCTCCTTCGAGGGAAAACGTGGAGAAACACGCGCATCACAGCTAGAGCAATTAGGACAATTCAATTTACTGTACAATCTGAAGGGACCGGCGTTCGGTTTCAATCTGAGAACGGGGTTAAAAAATAATTATGGGATGCCTCAGCCTCTGAGAAACTATTTCGTGTTTCGTTTAAAGACCCTCCCCCATGTGTCTTGAACATTTTATGGTGTTTTCCTATCTGAGTTATACATGTTTTTATTATTCCAATTTCAAATTTCAGCATCCGATTTGAATCACTTTTCAAATGTGTATGGTGTCAAAAAAAAAGTTCAGAAGACTTGTACATCACATGTGTCAAACTCAAGGCCCGGGGGCCAAATGTGGCACGTCAAGTCATTTTGTATGGCCTGTTTTTTAACCCTTTGTTTCCTAACCTGATAAATTAAATACATATATATATACGTATATATATATATATATATATACGTATATATATATATATATATTGAACAATATTTGTAATTTGAATAAATAATAATCAATCGCAGAAACATTTATTAATACGTAGTAGTAGTAGTAGAGTAGTAACATCTATACCGTCTTCCAAAGAATTTCCAAAGTTGTAAGCAACTGGATTTCTTTTTGGAGCTGTCTACACACCAGTTTCTTACAACTAACATGACCTGGACAAATGGGAATCTTCACAGTCACCCCCCCCCCCCCCCCCCCGGGTGAATGAGTTTGACACCCCTGTCGTACAAGAATCGACCTCCAGAACATACCAAGTT